CTGTCGGTTGACCCGTTATATCTTATTCTCCCCTCTGCATCAACCCCACTTGTAGAAAAGGAACATTATTGTGCACATTGTTAACCTGTATCTCGTCGTCATATTAACGTACTAGTCCGACGGGAATTTAACGAAAGCACACGTATACTCGCCAACTGGTCTTCCAAATCCTTCAGTGGACATTTTTGAAACTCTAAAAAGTTGATTTATTTGGAAGATACACGAAGTAGGTTGGCTACCCAAGGAAGGGCAGTTAACCCTCTAGGCAGTCTTTGAACAGTTTGGGCAGAGAAAGGCGTTGAGTTTCGAACTGAGTAGCATAGGACCTCCGTTCGGCGGTTCTTTCCTTAAAGCACAAATCAGACGATGTATTGAAAACGCCAACGGTTACATTCACTTGGTCTATGTCGTCTAAAAAGGCGATCGCTGGGATGCAGCTGTTGCTCAGAACACAGCTTCGCGGAGCCACAGACAGGAGTTGGGTGCCAAATGAGAGCTAATCAAAAAAGCACCACAGGCATCGTGACATTTCCAGCCACATTTCATTTATTGGGACACTTCGCATCTCCCTACATCTTAAACAATCTGTTATATGAACATGTATTTTCGTTATAGTTTGTTCTCTATTCTAAAAAACACGTATTACTACGTAAAACAGAAAAAAGACAGCTTAAACAGACAAGAATGTCTCTCGTAGTTTATCAGACCAAATTGTATTCTCCATATAGCCACTGACTTTTCCCCGAAAAATCGTCTCCAGTCATTCCTAAAATGTTGTCTAAATCTGTATTACCTTCAAAAATTTTTTTCCGTAGTTCCATTAATTTCCGTATCAATTAAACCCAACGAAAGGTGGGATTTATTTTACTCATTTGTGGAAACGTCGGCGGTCTCGATGGCCACATTTGTGGAACCCAAATGAACCTATCGTGCGTTTGTAGCTTGCAGCTTTATTAAAACATGAGTCTGCGGAATAGTCACTCGTCAAATTGGTGTGAAATGTTTCATATTTCGTTAATTAAACCGGAGACATGAACGAGCATTTCTGTACATTTCTGCGGAAAAGACTTCTAATCTGGTCAGTCCATTATAGAATACGTGAGCAGGACACGGGGACAGGAACCATTCACAATGCATGCGGCTTTGTGCCAAATCCAGGAAAATTAGGTTACCGATTAAGGTTATGTCTAGAGTTAGATTTAAAGTTTAGGTTAGGGTAGGATTATGGTAAGGGTTAAAGTTTGGGTTCTTGCTAACTGTAGGGGTGCTAGGTTTAAGGTAGGACTAGGGTTAAGATTAAAGTTACAGTATAGTTTTGTGTTAGAGTGATTGTTGGAATTAAGGCACGGGAATACTTACCCTTCCTGAAACGTATTGCAAAGCCACTTATTTTAGGTGTGAGTGGAATTCCTATTCCCGTGTCCTGTTTGGGCGGCCGTAGAAGACATTGCTATCAAGTTTTTGGTTATGATGATTAATGACTTTGTGAACATTCTAGACCTAGACCTTAAACTAATCGAGACTAACGGAAAAGAAAAGGGGAGAGGAGAGAGAGAGAGAGTTGTACCAAACGGCGTCTGAGCCCTATTACCACATGAGATGAGCAGCTCCCGCTCTCGCATGTAGTGACGGGGTCCCGAGCCTTAAATATACAATTGTTATTATTATTACTATTATTTCTTCAGGCCTATACATTTATATGTTAGTGAAATAAATAAACTATGCTCGTTGGTAGAAAGATATATATATGGAGAGATAAAGGACAAACTCTCAGCCCATACCACCTCTGTGTGCATATATTCATTCACCTGCTCCTGTGGGGCAGGATATATTGGTCGCAC